CGAACTACAAACATATTAACGCCAAACATTCGGTAGAATTTATAGAATATATATATATATATATATATATACATATATACATATATATGTATATATGTATATATATATAAAATATATATATATATATACATATATACATATATATATATATATATATATATATATATATATATATATTATTGTATAAATTCTAACAAATTGTTGACCGAAATGTTGGCATTAATCCATTTAAAGTTTGTTTTTATCAAATTGCTTTCTCTACTTCATCGTGAGTCTTCTCTATAACTTAGTCGTCGTCATACCTATATAATCAGAATTATGAAGCCCACACTCACCAATAATAAAACATTTGAACAAATATATTAGATGGCTATGATCCATTATTGATTCTGGTTTACTAGTGCAGTTGTTTTTCATCACAAGAGATTGCGTTCTTTGCTTGGAGTAGTATATTCGTAGTTTAATACTATCATTCTCGTTGATTTCTTGGGCGTTATTTTTAATGATTCTTTTCATAATTTTTTCGTCCTGTTCGAAAGCGGTTGACATATGATTCTTATAATTACTATGTTATTTTTGTTACTACTGTTGGTTGCATTGTTGTTGTTGCTACATTTTTGTTCTTTGCGTTCTATTATTTTCTGGAACATGGAATTTTTATATCCATTATAAAGACGGCATCACGAAGACGTGACCAACTTGAATCCACTATATCATTTATCATCACTAAACCCTTTGAAAGCGTCTTCCAAATCTCTGATGAACTGCTGGGTTTTTTTGAGATTGTTGACACAACAAGTATTATTGCGTGGGCATCTCGACCTTTTAGAATGATGCACATTTTTTTAGCTTTAGACTTGCCCTACTGACAACCAGAGCATGACCCGTATCACGATCAGCATTATGATAACTGCAAGTAAGTAAAACGCTAATAATATCTGCTCTTCTGGTGAGGACGAGATCTAGTTGATGCCACTTGCGAAAGAGCGGGTGTCTCCATGACATCCGATAAATTTCCTTGCACTGGAAGAAAGTGTTTGTCACTCACAGTCCGTGATGATTTAAAATCTCCAGCAGCAGAGTAGAAAGATGGAGCGTATGCACTGAGAAAATCTTTCGGAGCCCTCAGCAGGCAGCTGCATACAACTAAGCAGTGTATTTTTAACAGCCAAGCCAACAGCGTACAACCTAGATTGATTCAATGACGTTCACTGCCAATAGAATGCATAACTGCCTCCTTCCGTGTTTCAATCATCAATCTGTATTGATGCTGGAGTGTCCTCTTTAGTTTCAGCAATGGCCATAGTTTCAATCCTGGGTAGACAGATATGGAGGGTCAGCTGTTATCCAAGCAGCTGAGGGGCCCAGGAGAAAGACGAGGGTCATTACAGCCTGGTTTCAGTTGAGTTGCAGGAGTTGCCTAAATTGACCAAAATGGAGGTCACTCGCCTTAGGGACTCCGGCTCCTGTTTTCTTTCAGGGTTAACTCCCTTAGCTTTTCCTTAAAAAGGTAATAGCAAGGCAGCTATGTTCCTATCTACAGAGGCTTTCGTCAGACGACTCTGACTTTGGCCAGCACAGGAGAAGATGCAGGGTCTGCGTGTCCGGCATGCATGACGCTACCAGGTTAATCGTACTCAGCTGTGGTGCCAAAGTAATCTGGGCTTGTGACTAAACACAGCCTCAGCTTTTCCTTTGGCCCACCAGCATATCCTTTCATTCTAATCTAGGATTATTTATTGTAAATAAAGCAAAATGAAAATAACTTTTATGATAACTTTTATGATAACTTTTTTAATTTCAGTTAACTGTTCACAAATTCATGATAATAATATTTTTATAAAATAAAAAATAAATGAATTCATGTGTTAACTGAAAAATTACCATGAAAAATCTGCAAATAAAAATATATATGAGTTGGATTACACACCACAAAGTCAAGCTGTTGGTACTTTTATTAATGAGATGAATCTTAAAATTAATTATCAACCTGACAACTGAGATATGTAATTTTTTACAAAACTCCAGATGTAAATTTAAAAAGTATTTGTATTATAAATTTTTTATGAAAACAATCCGTCAGGACTGCTTTATTATACAGAATCATTGACTTAGTTGTTTTTTTGAATGGTCAAGCAGTTATTTGATTTTGTGGAAAAAATATGTTCACTGGTTATATTTAAAAAGAATCATATTTGTTTTATATTAATAAGTAGTTTCATTTTCATGTTAATAAGTAACTTTCACATTGTAAAGTATCATACAAAATCAAATGATATCAAGCATATTTTTTTCTGACAGTTTCCTTTTTGCTCGTTTTCATTGCAATAACTTTTACTGTTATACAGGCAAAATATAACACACAAATTAGCCTCCAACATTATACTGCAGCTTATATGAGTATGAACCAAATTTGTTAGCAACTTATCCAGAGCATTTTCCAACAAATGAAATTGCTGCAGTAAAAACATCTATCGAGTTCATCCACAGGTTGTCTAATGAAGATCACTTATGTCTATCAAGATTTAGCCAGATGATTAAAAAGAGCAACTACTCTATGAAAATTACAGTTTTTTGGAGATTGCATCATTGAAACTTAAATTTTTTTAATGGGGCTCTAGGAGGCCCAAACGGCCCTAAGTACATAGCTATAAAAAGATTTGTTATCATTATATTATTTTTATTTAAAAAAAGTGCACATTTTTAATTTTTATTATAAGATGTATGATATACATATCGGATATTCTTAATTATATATTAAATAATTACCTTTATTAATTAAATAAATTAATTAATTAATTGCATTACATTACAATATGATTGCATTACATACAGACAAACCAAAAAAACATAGAATAGATTATATATTATTTATTAAAAAAGTAAACAACTTACTAACTTTTTGTATAACTACTAAATGAGCTGAGTCCAGTCGAGTAGCCGAGTTACCAAGTGTCTATTTAATATTTAAAGAGTTTGTTTCGGCCTGTCTTACTTACTGAGCAGTCAGTAGTAGTAGTAGTGAGTTGATTGAGAGAGACCCTGAACAATGAAAAATATTACAATATCGGATTTTAAATCGGATATAATGGGAATAGCGATAGATATTTATAGTGATTTTACCTAATTTTAATATAATATTATTTTATAATATAATTATTATATATCATATGAATTATACAGTTAAATAGAAAACACACAATATTATATTGAGGCAAAAAATGGTCAGACTAATTGGCTGACATGGCAGAATTACAGTTGGCTGACTTGCACGCCGAAGATAATGAAACACAATTTTTCTAAATTTAATCAACACTACTTATTATATTTTTTTATTAATATTATTCTTTAAAAAATCAAGATCTGACAGACGCAAAAAGTGTTACGGCATGCAAGGCAGTAGTATAAAACGAAAAAAAAATTAATAAATAAAAAAAATAACAAACTGAGAAAGAAAAATGTTTGAACATGAAAAGTATTGAAAATAAAATAAAGTAGTGGTATAAAAAGGCAAATTAATAAAGTATTTTGTTGATGGACTAGATAATGATTTAGTGATCGATAAGTAAAAGGAAAACTAGAATGAGGAAATAATATAGTTTTATTGAGTGTTAGTTTTCCTGATATGTTGATTGAGTGACGACTTGATAATTATGCTTGCGTTGACGAAGGTTGTGTGTTGTAGTTTTAATTGGTGGTAGTAGAGGATGATTGACGTGGTTGCTATTTTCTACTTCTTTGAACGGTCTTAAATCGAGTGTGTTGAATATTTGAGTGACGGTAAGATATGATGCAGGTAGGCAGATAGTTGAGACAAATTAGTTTTTTGATGAGAGATTGTAGTTGCTTAAGTTGTTGTTGTGTAGCAAAACCAGACCAGGAGGGAACAGCATATTTGATGTGTGAGATGATAAGTGATTCTGTGATGTCGAATAATTTGATGCCTCTGAGAACATGTGAGCGGAGTGTTTTGAGTGTGTGAAATGTTTGAAAACCTTTTGTGATGATGTGATTGATATGAGGTGCTACATTAAGTGTGGGGGTGAATGTAATGCCTAATATTTTTAACTGATTTGTGCAAGTAATAGATGGGTGTTCTGGAGGTAATGTTATTTTCTTACGGCAATTGTGAAGGATGAGTTTGAATGATTTATTGAGGTTAAGTGACAGATTGCATTGTTTTGACCATTCGGTTAATGAGTTGAGTTCAGATTGGATGGTGTTTAAGTTAGATGATAGGATGATAAGGTAGGTGTCGACAGCGTATTTCATGACTTGATTAGAGCTATGAAGAGTTTTGAGAGTAGAAGCATTGACGATAAATGTAGATGGTTTAAGGACAGAGCCTTCAACTACACTAAGATTAATAGGTAAAGTAGATAAAAGAGTAGAGTTAAAAAAAAGTAGAATGACCCCTGTTAGAAAGAAAATTTATTATAAAATTGTAGAAGTTGTTAGGTAGAGGAAGAGAGATAACTAATTTGAGAGTGAGAAGTGATTGAGAAAGTCAAAAGCTTTAGAAAAGTCAAGAGCTATAAGATGAACATTATTATTTTTAAGAACAGTTGTTATTGCAAAAGTAAGAAAGATGATGGCGGATGTAGATAAACCTGTAGGGCAAAAAGCAAACTGATCTTGTAATAGTGGTTTGATGAATTGATGATTGAAACATGGATAGATGAATGACCTAACGATCCTAACGATGAATTTTTCTAGAATACGTGAAAGTATGGGGGTGATAGATATTGGGCGATAATCTATTTGTGATGATAGGTGTTTTGTCTAATTGAATAATTATTCATAATATGTATTTAAACAAAGATTCTATTAAAACAATGCAGTATATTGTGACAATATCTTAAAATATAGTGGCTGACTTGAAATTTTATTTAACGTACACAGTATTTGGCTGACTTTACACGAAAACACAATTTTTCTTAATTTATTCAACACTAATTATTATTATATAATTGAATAATTATTCGTAATATGTATTTGAACAAAAATTTTATTAAAATAGTGCGGTACATTACGACAATATCACAAAATATAGTGGCTGACTTGAAATGTTTATCAATGTACTCAGATTTGGCTAATTTTTCATGAAGCAGTCTCAATTTCATTTTTGTGACCTACCTCAGGAGCCACTTGAAGCAGTCTCAATTACGTTTTGTAACCTTGAAACAGTCTCGATTACGTTGACATCTCCGTCTGTTCTTTTATGCATTCTAAGCACTCGAAAAAATTACAAACATTTTGGCCATTTCTGCAGTTGACATAAAACCACTTTCTACAACTTACGCAAAATCTTTGTTTCTCATAATGTTCAACATTTTTACAACACCGATTGTCTCCACAAATGGTCTAATCATTTTCAGCCAAATACCGCAAAAATCAGCCACTATATTTTGTGACATTGTCGCGATTTACCGCATTATTTTAATACATTTTTTGTTCAAATACATATTATTAATACTATATCAATTATATTATAACAATTTTTTTCGATTACATTGAGAAAAACTGTGAAGTCAGCCAAATTGACCATCTGATATGCAGTTGTTTAAAAATATCACAGAATTGCATCGTTGTTCAATTTGCAATTCAGTTTTTTAGTTTTTTTCATGACGAATTTCAGTTTATTATCAAGTATGCTTAGTTCATAAACATAATTTTTATTCATTTTTTGCATTTTCATAAGAAGCTTTTTTCGACAATTATTTGTCATCATCAGTGTTGAATACGGTTTTGTTTCATGTGTCTGTTAATTGACTTTGTTACTCTGTCTTCACTAAGTGAATTTGTTCAAATTCTGACTTTGTTACTGAGTGTCTTCACTAAGTAAATTTGTTTGAATTTTATTAAATAAGTAAATTTGAACAAATTTAGTAAATTTGTTCAAATTCTGACTTTGTTACTGAGTGTCTTCACTAAGTAAATTTGTTTGAATTTTATGGTTGGTGTAATAGTGTAAAAATAAAATAAAATATGATCAAATTGCGCTTTATTATTTGTTATTTTAACTATTGCTGTTTTTGCTAAATTTGTAATCTTTAGATAGAGGATCGTAAAAAGATATTTGTAATCTTTTGATCGTAAAAATCCACCGTGGAGCCTATATGTGATCCTGCGGTGAGGTTTCCAGCAACAAATGTCAGATTTTTAGCGAGGTTTGAAGCGAAGTAGTAAATGTGATTTATGTAGTTACTTGGACTAGTTTAATGTTTATATTACTGTTGGCATTCAAATAAAGGTTTAACAAAGTCTGCATTTGAAGCAGTTGTGTTCATTTATAGGAAATCTTGAACCTACGTAATAACGAAAACTTGACGATCTTTGGAAGCTACAACACTGGGATTAGAAATATAGAGATCTTTGGAGTTATAACATTGGTGTTGGTAGTTACGAACGTTAAAGGTTACATAACATTGGTGTCAATAGTAAGATTTTTGATAAATCGAAATTTTCTGCAATAAAAAATGCTAACGCTGGAAGAACTCAATACAACTTATCAGAGAAAGGAACCAACCTGTTCCTATTTCAAATGCTCATTGCAATCGTAATGATGAAGATGATGACGAAAACGACTAGGAAGGTTTTGAAAATACTGGCGAAGTTGGCAGTAATAGAGACACTGAAACTTTTAATATGCATGGGTCTACTTCTCGGACCTTTCGGCCAGCAACTCAATCGTAATGATAGAGATGATGAAGGATGAAGGTTTTGAGAATAGTACAGATTTTGGCAGTGACAAGGACATTGAAACCGTTTATATGCAGTAGGACTACTACTCGGATCTTTCTGCTAACAACTCGCCTGTTTTCATCGATTATAACAACAGCATTAACATTAATAGCCACAACAATTTAACATTTGATGATGATTTGGATAAGATCTTAATCTGAAAAGCATAAATCTAGAGAGTAAAGAGGTCAGTGATGATAATTCTAATGTAGATGCAAATATTCATACCGAACACGAATTGGTGACAGATGATGTTTCTAGTTTTGAGACGTTGAACCGTTATTGAGTCTTGCGTTAAAATCGTTGTTGCTATTAATGTTAATGCATTCATTGTTATTGATGAAAACAGGCAAGTTGCTAGCAGAAAAATCCGATTGGTAGTCTCATTGTATATCAAAAGTTTCAGTGTCTTTATCACTGCCAACTTTGCTAATATTTTCAAAACCTTCATTGTTGTTTTCGTCATCATTAAGATAACTGCCTTCCTCTACGTAAACACGTGCGACGCTGTTGTCAAGTGCATTTTAGTTGTCACAGGCGTCGCAATTATCATGTGCGTCACAGATATCACGTGCATTGCAGTTAACACGTGCATCGCAGTCAAAATCATCTGTAGAAAGAATGGACTTGCGATTGTTAATTTAATTGTAGATAGTTGAATAGGCTTGTGATATTTCATTTCATTTTCAATATTTATTTGCAATCAACAACATATAAATTTAAAAATGCGGAGACCGAATAAGACTATATGACTTGGGGTGGCCACCGCAAGTAGATATATGAATAGTTAATGAAAAGAAATAAGAAAAATAATTGGGGTAAAAAAATAATTGAGGATAAATAAATAAATGTTCGTGTTGTACATATATAAACATATAAATATATAAATGTCTGTTCGTTATAAACATAAACATATATAACGGCTTAATCATTCATAAAAACCATTAACCCGCGTCATTTATTTTCACGTATTCATTAATATAGTACCGGGTTGTGGAGTCGGGATCCAGTGTCAATAAAAAAGCGCAGAATTTTGACTAGAACTGTTGCAGGTTTGTAATGGCTCTTAAATGGGAAGGCACAAGTTCTGTCCAAAATTTAAAACCAGCTATTTTTATGCTTGTCTGGATTATTTTGAGGCGGGTTTTATAAATATAAAAGAAAGGGATGTGGCTAGTGGCTGTAGATTGGATGGAGTTGCTTAATGTGTAGAAGTTGATAAAATGGGGTGGAAGAAGATTGTTGTTTGATTTGAAAACAAATAAGGCAGAGCAGTAAAGGTAGATAAAGTTAACTGGTAAAATTTTGTTTGCTAGAAAGAAAGGTTTAGTATGGAAATAAGGTTTGAGGTTAAAAATTAAACGTATTGATCTTTTTTTGGAAGAGTATTAAATTATTCAGATGACTTTTGGACTATTTCCTCATAATGTGATGCATTAGGTTAGATGAGGGTTAATGAATATATAATAAAGCGTTTGTAGAATAAAAAGAGAGTTTATATGATGCCAGGGTCTTGTATACATGATGCAGGCTCAGCCGGGCACATTTTTCGTTTGTCCGATTTGCTGTCTAATTTTGTCTTCGTATTTTCGATTGTCACTTCGTTAAGTTCAGTAATTTTATTAGCTTCTCAAAATTCAGCCAACTGTTGATCCCATTTTTTAAACATTTCGGCATAGGTACAGTTGTCTCAGTTCTTCCATAGAACTCGGCAAGTCGAACTTATCAGGATCGATTTTTTTTATTAGAGTGTTCCTTAAGCGGGTAATTAAAACGACCTTCGCTCCTTTCGAATCGAGGTTTCGTTGTCGTAGTTTTTTCCTCTGATAATTTGTACTGAGTTCTTCCAGCGTTAGCATTTTTTATTGCAGAAAATTTAGATCTATTAAAAAAATTTTTCCGACATCAATGTTGTAACCCTTAACGTTTTTTATTGCAGAAAATTTAGATCTATTAAAAATTTTTTTTCCGACATCAATGTTGTAACCCTTAACGTTCGTAACTACCAACACCGATGTTATAACTTCAATAATCTCTATATTTCTAACACAAGTGTTGTAGCTTGGTCTACTTGTTTGAGTTTTTCTGATTCTATCTGAAATTCCGCATTGTTTCTGCCTTTCCCCGTAATCATCACCTTATTTTTGTCTTTGTTGAGATACAACCCGTGATTTTTGCTACCAACATGTGTTAGTTAAATTAGCTTCTGTAGACTTTCTTCACTGGAAGTTAAAAGATCTATATCGCCAGCAAACCTGAGATCTTTGACAGTTGTCCTTCCTATGTCAATTCTACCTAATTCCGAATTTTCCATTTTTTCAATTCCTCTTTCTAACAATGCTATGAATAGTATTGGTGATATTGGATGTCTACCTTTATCTAATCTCCAAGTTCTCTACCTATTATCACCGCCATTTCTGATTCTTCCTAAAACCCTTTTAGTACTTTGACCAGCTTTTCTGATGTCCCCATGTTTCTAACGTTGCCCACAAACCTTCATGCCAGACAGAATCAAACGCATTCTTAAAATCAACAAAGCAACGGTAAATTGTCTAACAGCTACTTTTTGCATCTTCCATCAGCAGTCTCACCGTCAGAATTTGTTGGATCGTGCTTCTATCCTTTCTGAAGCCTGCTTGTTTTTCATGCAGATGTTTCTCTATGATCTTTACCAGTCGTTCTTTTATGATGGTTAGCATGATCTTGCATATGTGCGGAATTAGTGCAATTGATCTGTAATTATTACAGCATAACCAGAACTGACTTGCACCATTCTTCTGGTCACTTTCCACTTTCCCAAATTTTTTGACAAATTGTGGGAATTTTTTTACACACGACTTGTCCTCCTGCTCTTATCAGTTCTATTGGAATACCATCCTTCCCTGTACTTTTGTTGTTCTTCATTTTACTCATTGTTCTTGTTATTTCTTCCCTTGTTATTTCACTTTCTTCTTCATTGATTATTTTTCTGCTTTTAAAATTTCAAGCATTTTTTTGTATGTGTTCTTGTCTGTGAACAAGTCTTTAATATATTCAGTCCATCAATCCCTAATTTTTTTACTTTCTGTTAGAATGTTTCCGTTTTATCTTTAATAATCCTTGACATATTTTTCTGATTTCTTTTTAACTGTTTAACCAGCTGGTATGCCACTCTTGTCTTGTTTTGCTCAATCATCGTCTCTACCTTTTCACATTTACCATTAATCCATCTTCTTTTATCTGTTCTGACACTTTTTTTTATTTTTTGGCAGACTTCTTTGTATTTCATCTTATTTTTTTCACTCTGTCTTATTGTCATTTCCAAACTTTTTCTTTCTTCTACAAATTTCATCCATTTCTGTTCTATCAGTATTAAATCTATCATGTTCATTGTTCTTTCGTCTGGTGACTCCCATGTACATTTGTTGTTGTTTTAACTCTTTGTGTTTGTGACACAATCGTTGGTCTTTTCCAAACTCTAATAACCTTTCCCATTTATCATTTCTATTTCCTGCACCGTATTTCTCCATTACTTTTTTAAATCCAATGTTGTCACTTCCAATTTTAACATTCCAGTTCCCAACAATGATTTTGACATCTTTCTTTGATAATGCTTTCAATGTCCTTTGAATCTGGCATACCTCAACCTGTCATTTATCGGATTGTATTCAATTAATGCTTTTCTTGCTTTCTCTCCAAGAATCATTTCCAATCCATGAATATGCTCTGTTTCTGTGCTTGATCATAGCAGTTTTCCGTTCTCCAATTTTCCACTTCCTGTTTATCTAACTTCACACAAACCAATTACATCATATCTGAACCTCTCAAGCTCCTTTTTCAGCATCGCATATGTTCCAACTTGCCACAGTGACCTCAGATTCCAAATTCCAACTGAACTTCATCTTCATTTTACTTCTTTGAGACTTAATAACAAATTTTGTATTGTAGCTTCTAGTTCCCAATGCTGCAATGCGGCCCCTTTTGTCCCGGGCGACAACCGAGCCGGTATGATTATTTGCTGTTGTGTTTACCGTCGTGTTTGTAGCGTTTTTAAAACAGTTTAGCAAGCTCCTGTCAACCCTCCTCCTTTACCTGGACTTGGAACCGGCACCGAAGTCCGGTAGATTGCAACCCCAGTGGTGGTGTTAATAAACACTAATAAATCGGTGGAATTATATATATTTATATATATATTTAAAAAAAACAATAAATTATATATATATATATATACAATTTTCGAAAATATACTTACTCATTTTTTCAATATATATATATATATATATATATATATATATATATATATATATATATACATACATAACAACAACAGCACACGTTTAGACGACATTTTCCCCAAGATCGGGGGTTGCCGTTTGGCTACCTATGATGAAACCGAAATACCCCTCGACGCCATTCACATCTGTCACTCGCTTCAATATCACGCAACCCCGCTTTCACTATGTCCTTCTCTACCTGCTCTCTCCATCCCAATCGCGGACGACCCCTTCCTATCACTCCTTCAACCTCGAACTCCAACGCTCGCCTAATCCCGACTCTTTCATCCCTTCTCAACACATGTCCATACCACCGCAATCTCGATCTCCTTATTAATGTCACAATGTCATTCAGTCCCATCATCGACATCAGCTCTGTACTACTCCTCATATCCTTCACTTTAACCCCACACATCATCCTCACCATAGCTCTTTCAGCCCTCTGCTGTACACTTTCCTCCTCTCTTCTCAACACCCAAGTTTCACCACTATACACTATTGCCGCTCTCACACATGCTTTATATACCCTCCCTTTCCTCTTCACTGACCATTTCTTTCCACACAATACCCCACCCAGCTCCCTAAATTTCATCCATCCCACACGAACTCTAGCCGTAACAGCGCTCAAACATCCTCCATCCACGTTCAGTTTAACCCCTAAATAAACAAAGCTTTCCACTCTTTCAATACCACCACTCAACCCCGTCCTTGCGTCCATCCTATTAATCACACCATGAACACATTCCTTACATTAGAACGTGCCTTACACCTTTTTCAGTGTCCCCTCACACTACTTCATCTCTTATGCACCCACTTCTGACTTCTTTTACACAATACAGAGTTAGCCTTCACTCTCCTGTCACATACCCCACAGGGGTCTATTTTACTTATTACTTGCTTCCCACCTTTGCCACTCACCATTACCTTCGTCTTACCAATATTAACTTTTAACCCTTTCTTTTTGATAACACTTTTCCATCTGTCAAATTTTAACTGCAATTCTTCCATGCTATCAGCCATCAAGACTGATCAAAATCATCTGCATACAAAATTTAAAATAACAACCCCTCCATTATGTTTTCACACACAACATCTATCACAATTGCAAACAAAAATGGCGATAACAAAAACACAAAACAAATCCATCTGATCTCCTGTAATGCAGCCACGTCAACCATTCTCATCTGCAATTTCTCCACCACTTCCAAACTTCTTTCTGTCAACGTGCCTACATTCTAGGTACCAAACCTCTAACCACTTGGTCTACAAGTGGTTGGAGGTTTGGTACAACCATAGTGCCTTGCACCGCAACACTATAGAGTGGGGTGCCAGTATCCAGACCATCCACAGGGCTTTGCACCGCAACCCCCTGGACTGGGTCTCCGGGGATTTTTCGCACTTTTTTCTGCTGGATACTGAGGACCATTGTCACTTCTGTCATCATAAGTATTTTTTGACTAATTTTTACGCAGGACGCCCTTCCTTACGCAACCACAGTTATAAACAGTGGGCCCAGCCTTTGATGATCCAACATCACTCACAAGGCAGTGAGGGTCAGTTTAATGTCATAACAAGGACTGAAATATATATATATATATATATATACATATGCTGGTAAATATATATATATATATATATATATGTATGTATATATATGTATGTATATATGTATATATAACACTTTTGTGTTTTAGTTTCTAAAATAAATGAATAAACATGTCGATAAAACCATATAACAAACAATCCATCAACTGAATAATTATTTAATGATTGAAAAAAATATATGAAAAACTTATTTATATATAACATTTTACTTTAAAGGATGGCACAATGTGGGCCGATTTAATCAGCCGAGCTAATGATCATATTTTATGTATCCCATATATTTCAATTAATTCTATATGGGTTACCTTGGCTTAAATTTTCTCATTTATTGAACTTGTCCTGCACATTGAACGACTTTCTTCGTCTTATTGTTTGTGTTGCGTTGTTCTATCTAGTTTTAGTTTAGTTTTTTTTGCTTTGGTTAGAAATTAATTTTTAATTAATTCGTTTTATTTGTAAATCAATCCTCAATCGTAATGCAACCCGGTTACCTTTTTTAGCATTTTCCAGCTAATTATGAGGTTAATATTAATTTAATTATTTTTTAATATTTAAATTTAATGTCGTTTGTTAAGTTTTTACTTTGTTTTAAATTTTAATAAAAAGTTTTTAATTTACTTACTAGTAGACACTTAAACTTAGAAGACAGGCTTTTGTTTTTCCTTTTTTAAATAGTATTTAATAAATACTTTTTAAAATTTAATCTTTAATAATAATAAATTAATTTTAATATTTTATTAATGAGTTATAAATTAAAACTTTTATTAATTATAATAAATTAATATTTTAATATTTTATTAATGAGTTATAAATTAAAACTTTTATTAATTATAATAAATTAATTTGATTTTGTTTTTCTATTACTTTTTTTTAATTTTTAATATTAAAATTTATTAAAATTTAAAATTATTAAATAAACTAGAAACAAAAAAATTCATTTAAAATAATAATAATTTAAAATACTAACATGCTAAAACCAAATAGTAAAGTTACACTATGTAAATCAAAGTTTACTTTATTTTTATAGTTTAATTTTTAATAATTAATTCAACTTTTAACATTTACACAACTAGCTAGTAGTTATTGAACTAAATACTCAATACTGAAATGTCCGAATTTTGATGTTATGTTGTATACTGTTAAGTAGAATGTTCAGGTTCCAGTCATAAGTTTTTCAAAAAAGATCTACACACCAGTGACTATCAGTGTAAAACCGTACCAAGGAAATTATCAATCCTTCCATTCACTATCTATGTATCTATGTCTATTTTATTCATTATTTACTTCTATTATTTGCATAGCTCACAAAGAAACCTTTGTCCATTGAACTTTATTTTATTGTTATATTATAATTATTTATGTTAAGTTTCAGATTCAGTTGACCTACTCAAATGTTAAAATGTACTGAAAAGGCAGATTGTTTTCTGAACATCATTTAATTGCCCTCACTTGTGACCCCTTCATTTATAATTATTCCTCTTATCATCTGATGAAATTTGAGAGATAAATATTTTATGTCCTTTTTATAATCCATTTTTTTCTTTATTACAAATTCCACTGCCCCACTTTTTAATTTTCTAAAGTTTCCCACCTTGGTTTTCTAAATTAATTTTTTTGCACTTCCAACTCAATTTTATAAAATTTATCATTTTAATCCTTATCAAATTTCTTCTTTTTTTAAACCGCTTACTTAATAATATACAATATTTCCCATTTCATCAATTTAAATTATCTTCTTACTTATTTTTGTTATTTTATTTATTTAATTTTTTACTCATTAACTTTTATACGCTCTCAACTTATGGATCCTTTTTTCTTTTGGTTGTATATGTTTCCATCTTCTGAATATCTTTCTAAATCGGTTGTATATTTGTTGTGATGAAAGATTTTTTCATTCTGTAAAAAACGAACTCTGCCAGACATAGAGATGGTACAGTACAGTACGCAGGGCATAAAAAATAACAAAGATAAAGTAAATTAAAATAAAATAAATTGATTATGCTGTAATAAACTAAAATATTTATGACAAGTGTTAATACAATATAATGAAAAAAGAAAATAATAATTAAATTTGATAAAAAACCACAGCTAAAAGAGGTATTTAAAGTTATTTGAATTACATTTTAAAAGTTTTAAATAAATATGTCATTAGGACATAGATAAAAAATTACATACAATCATTCATTCACTTAGGCAAATATGACATCACTCACACAAATTTGACATCTCATATAAGATGGCTTAAATACTAAGTTTTGATGAACTGTTATTTTATTTATGGCAAACTGATGTCACTGAATTTCATGATATTGTATTAGTGAACACTTTTATTTGACTTGTTTATATTGTAGTCTTAAGGTTTTGTTACAAGAAGCAGAAGTTTTGAAATTAGAATTACTAAAGTTAACACATAGTCTGCAAAAATATAAAGTTATACAGAGTTTTGAAAAGTTGTTTAAATCATATTCCTATTCCTAAAACGTTTCCTCTTTCCTAAGAAACAAATTTGGAAATGTTCTCCTTTATTGACCTTTATCACAGAAATTTTATTATTTTAGCTCATTTTTTAAAAACATAAATTAATAAAATCACAGCCATAATATCACCCTGCATAACTGCAGAAAAACGTTGGTCATTAAAATATTTTAAATACTTTAGGAAATTTAATATAATGTTTAAATTGAAATATAAAATCTTATCAGAAAACTGGAAAACATTAGAAAATAACATGATAATCAATTCGATTGATTTTAATGATATGTATATATTTTTATATTGATTATACTTATATATATATATATATAACACACATATATCTAATAATTATATATATATATATAATATATATATGTATATATTATATGTGTATTTATGTTTGGAAACCTCAAAACAGAAACATTTAAAAATAACCTTCATCTAAAACCAAGATATGTGGATAACATTTTGTGGCTTACTGCAAGCCAAATGTGATTAATGAACTGCTCAAGACACTAATATCTAAAGTTAGTTAAACCATTTTAGTCAGTTTTGAGTGAGAGAGAGAAATTTCTAGACTGCTGATTATGTAAAACAAAAAGTTAAATGTATTTGTCTCAATGGGAGAGTCAGATCGTTTGTCAATCGTGCTTTCACCTATTAATATTTGAGTGTTGAACGTGATGCTAAACTATAAAGGATATTAACTTATTAGTCATCAATGAGTACAAAATTTCTGCAATCAAAGGTATCAACAACTAAAAAGTACTACTTTTGAACATTTTCCAAAACAAAAACAATGAAAACAATGACTAAATATTCTTTTATAGAAACCATATAATGATTCAATTTTTGAAACGTATCTTTTACATAACACCTCTTAACACCTCCAATCTAGTAAAATTTAGAATGTATTATAGAAACGCTAAAACAATAAATCTCCCCGACATGATTACGCACTAAAACGTAGTTCTTTAATATATTAGTATAAATGGACCATTGACGATTGTACACGTCAATAGATTTTGGTTAGAGAAACTACAACATATGCACAAAGAGGAGGTTCTATCAAAACGCACTTGGAAACAGTGCGTAAAATATTATTCTGTGCCGACGTACAAATGTCATCAGATATTATAATTTCAAGCCTCTTTACAAGAATCTCTACGCTTTTTGTAATATCATTCAACATGTCGCCATGTTTGTCAAATGTACGCAATATAGTAGGTTTTATTGGATTCAAATTAATACTATCAACTGCCTTCTTCAAAGCAAGTTCATATTGCAAAAGCACAAAAAAGTACGAAAAAACAAACGTAGAAAATTTGTAATTAAATTTGTTATCAAATATAATTTTGCACATATCAACCAACCTGACTGAATCTTCGGAATCTGAATTGAGAGAGTTTCAGCTTCTTTCGCGATTATTTTCTTGCTATCAACCAAACACGTTAAAATTAGAATTTATAAAAATCCTTAATTCATATATATAAATATATATATATATATATATATATATATATGAAAAATTTGAACAAAAAATAACTTAGCCTAAAATATTATTAAAGAAATACACACAAATATGGCGAAGAGAGCAAAAAAGTGATTTTATTAAAGATATTGAACTTTTGTTAAGCTCTGAAAAAGGGCTATGTACATATTCACAACAAATGTTATTATAATAATACACACACCCACACATGTATCTATAGAGAGAGAGAGAGAGAGAGAGAGAGAGAGAGAGAGAGAGAGAGAGAGAGAGAGAGAGAGAGAGAGAGAGAGAGAGAGATTTTTTCCCGCAGTAAACTCATTTTAGGTATTTGCACCAGTCTAATCACATTCAACTTTTTCATGACTTATATATTAAAAGAATAAAAGAATTCATTTTTTAGAAAAAATATAGCTACAAAAATTTTAAACATTAATTAATACTTTCTATATCTATAACTAATTTATGGTGTTGACAACTTGTAAAAATTTTATTTTAAACTTTTTGTTTTATCAATAAAACAGGTTTTTTTTGAATTTTCCTAAACGTATGGAAGGTCCAAAACTGAATGATCTATTGATGAATTCGAAACAAACAATAAGCAGTCAACTGGAAATTCTCACGTTTATTAATAATATTAACAAACATAATAACAAAAGAAGACACTCCAAAGAGTTTGCCATACCTTACAATAAACATTTTTCAAATTCTTCTACGAGATTAATATTTTTTTATCTAAGTAGTTTATTAACTAATCATAAATATATACTTATTAATTGTAATTGCATTCTACTTAATACGTTTTTTGTTGGATTTGTATTGACTCAGAGAACTTTTCTTCAGCAAAAATGTCAGTTACAGATACTATCAAAGCAGTAAATACTCAGAAGTTAGACAAAACTAAAGGGGAAAATGATATCCCGCTTCTAAATGTTAAAATTGATTTGGCTACCGCTTTGGAAGATGGTGGGAGCTTGAATAAACAACCGAATGCTAAATATGAAACAAAGTATTCAAAAACAAGCGATGGCAACAGTTATATTTCGTCGTCGTCGTCATCCTCATCTTCAGAAACTTCGTCTTCATCGGCGTTATCAGAGACTTCATTTTTGGATGGTGGTTGGGGGTGGATGGTTGTCTTAGCATCATTCATGGCTCATGTCATTGCCGATGGTTGCTGCTATTCTGCAGGTGTTTTATTGGTTAAATGGTTGGAAGTTTTTGAGGAGAGTAAGGCCAAAACATCCTGGATTGTTGCTCTCTTTGTATCGCTGCATGCAATTTTTGGCCCCAGTAAGTAATTTTCTTTATTGTTCTAACAATCATCTTCCAATTGTTTACACTAAAATAGGCATATTCATTTATATTGTTTATTTTATTCAATTTTTATTTACCTCCTTAGTTTTCTATAATATATATTTCCATAATATAATGGCGTATAATATACGCCAGTAGCGTATTGTTGAATATTTATTGCAGGACGTCTTTGATGAGCAACGATTTTGCAATCCTGTTGTTATAGTGAATTATTTCCACGTTGTCGTGCAATAAGTATTCCACAACACCCTACTGGCGTCATACCAATCAACAAAGTCAGAAGCAGAACGAAGTCAATTAGTTAAGTCAGGCAATAAAAGTCATTCAAAACTTATGTAAACACACACAACACACACTTTTGTATACGGCAAACAAACAACATGAAAAAACAAACATTAAATGGATTTCGGTCAACAATTCGGTAGAATTTATACATACATATATAGATATATATATATATATATATATATATATATATATATATATATATATATTACAATATTCTATAAATTTTACCGAATGTTTTGGCGTTAATATTAACGCCAAACATTCGGTAGAATTTATAGAATATTGTAAAAATTATTGTCTATTACCAACATATATATATATATATATATATATATATATATATATATATATATATATATATATATATATATATATATATATATATGAAATTTGCGTTCAGACTGTCGTATATACACTTATTTAGAAATATCACCGCATTTTTCGCATTGTTGAGTTTGTAACCAAGTTTTTCAATTTTTCGAACAATTATTTTATCGATATTATTCAATTTATTAAAATTAATAAAAAAATTTCTAATTAGCTTAGGCTGCATTTTTCATATATACATTTACATAAAAGCTTTTTCGATAATCTTTTTCATCATCAGTGTAATAGAGTTCGGGATATTGTTATATGTAGTTCATCAGGTGTTTATAGTATTTTTAACAAAGGAACTCAGTTCCATTGTTTCTTTGTGTGAGTAATTTCTTTGATGGTAGAATCGTTACAACCTGTTATTGGATGTTTATTACAGGGTTTCTATTTTCTATTAATAAAGCTTCTGCCATTCTCAAATTACTTATATTTTGGTTGTAATATAACACTTTGGTATTTGAGTTTAATATTTCCCTTGTTATTTTTATTTGGTGTGAATCCATTAAATGATTTTTTATTGCACCATATTGAACTTAGAGTTCCTTTGTTAAAAAAAGTATAAATACTTGGTGAACTACGTATAACAATATCACAAACTCCATTACACCGATGTTGGTAAATTATTATTATTATTATGGGTGTGCCCCATAACGGAACGTTGCCGTGTTCACATGTTGCCTCCATTTCAAATGATCATGAGCAAATCTCCAGGCGGAGTAAGGACCTTAAGGTAAGATGATGATAAAGGTTACCGTTAAAAGCTTTTATGTAAATATATATATATATGTGAAAAATGAAGTCTAAAATAATTAGAAATTGAATTGTTAATTGTTCGGAAAATTTAAAAACTTAGTTACAAACAATGCTGAAAATTCGATGATATTTCTTAATATTTTTTAATATATATATATTAAGGGTGTCCGTTAAAAACGTTAAAAAAATTTTTTAAAAGTTCTACTCTGAGCCTCCCAAAAGTATCCATTTGGTCTAAAAAAATTTCTGTTGAAATTTTATGGAAATAATTGATGTTTTCTGGTCGCTCAAGCGAGTCAAAGTTTCAATTTTTAATATACAACATGTGAATAACAGTGCATAAAAAATTTAATTTATATTAATCATATAACAATCACAAAGAAGAGTGCAGATGCAATGTACCGGATGCAATGTGCAAGGAGTTGGATATTGGCTGACGTACTGTGCAGCTGAAAAAAACATTGCGGATAAAGTTGATAAAAGAGATAAGAATCAAGACTTACTGCTTAATTTGTTGCTGAACTTTTGACGCCATTTGTGTGACCGCGCGATGCTTTTATACATGTACTGCGTTTTATTTATGTTTAATTTCGATCTGCTTATCCCACTAGGTTTAATGTATTGAAACGTTGAAAGAGTTAGGTCGTTACGCGGCATTTATCATTTTTAAAAACAATTTTATTTATTTATGCATTATAGTTTGAATGATATCAAGGTTTGCACGTGATAATTTAATTTTTTGAAATTTTAAGTATCTTACAGATATGATTGAGAGTCGAGGAGGTAATAATTAAGCTCACAGATTCAAAATCTAATAAAAATGGAAAATTTAAAGTTTTTCATAAATTTGAACTTTCCAAACAAGATTTTATATAGCATGTTCAGGGATTACTTTCATAGATTTTTTCAAAATTTTCATAAAAATGAAATAGAATTTGCCACGTTAAACATAGCTATCAAATATATTAATTTTCAGTCCTATTTAAAATGAGATTGTCATGTACAGTCCAATGTTCTAATGTCAATTAGGATGGTAATCAGATTCAAGTGTATATGAAAAGTATATTAACTACATAGCTTGCCTTAATTATCTGTATTGTTTTGTTTTTGAAATGCCAATGCTTGCACATGCAGTAACACGCGCGCCGCACACTAACATACACACGCACACAGCCACACTTAACACTCATAGACACACGCACGCACGTATACGCACGCACGTATACACACAATACACACACACACACACACACATATATATATATATATATATATATATATATATATATATATATATATATATATATATATATTAGGATGTCCCTTATTTATCAAAAACGCACACACTGCTGAAATGTTTTTTATGTTTAATTATGGGCTAACAGCTCATTCCATGAACGGAAACCGACTAGCATTTGAAAATTTTGAAGATGCTCGTAATAATTGCGTAATGCATACGGTTGCGCTTGCTTTATTCCTTGTTAAAGTTGTAGTTGGTAAGCATTTAACAAGCATTGTTCAACCGGCATTCGCCCTTTATATTATCTAAACCAGCACGACGCAGGGTTTCGGTAGATTTGATGTGATCCTTCAGACTAATTCGTTGCATCCATCGAAGCATTTTCATATCGGTTCGTTGAAGGTTTTGTTCTAGTTTGGTTGTCATTGGCCACGACAAACCTATTCCTATCTATTATGAATTTTTTGAAATTTGGATTCTAGACGAATGTTAAATACTGGACGTTTTAATGGGGCTTGTGCTTTTTTAAAACACGAGATTTTCATGGCTTAAACCGTATTCTTTGCGTTGCTTTCATGAACGCAAACAAAATTTTTTATAAGAAAATGCCCGCAATAACATTTTATCTTGTTTTTTTAAACAGAGTTCAATAATATTTTTTGGTATTTACTGTTTATTAGTTTATTTTAGATTCATTTTGTATTCTACCTTCTATTTACGACATATGAGATCTTTCATTGAAAATTTTGTGTCAACTTGGCACGGGTTCCCATTATCATAAAAGTTTAGCATTTCGTTTTTTATTATGGCTCTATATATGGTTTTTTATTATGGCTTTTTGCAGGTTCAGTGCCATCATGGCCTTTGACAACACTTCTTTCCAGGTGAGCTCGAGTTGCCACTTTCCTTAAACCGCCAGTTATAATAGTTTTACATTTCTTTACACAATCCTCGTTTGCTTTCCTCTCTACATGGCCGAAACATTTCAGTGTAATATCTCTATGACAACTATTCTATTTCCAGCCCTTTCTTTGTTACCTCATTATTTAAACCATTCCTCAAGAATACTCCCAATATTCTTCTCAACATACGCATTTCGGTTCTCTCCAGCCATTTTAAGTTTTCAGCCGTCAAAGCTCAAGCTTTGTACTTATAGAACAGTCAGCTTTTTACACATGCCTTATATACTTTGCCCATCAGGCCCAATGGTATACCTCTAAAACACAGCACTGAAGTCATATCTCTGAATGTTTTCAATCCTACTTTTATTCTGTTTTTGACCGCTTTATCCGATCCACTCTCCTCATTTAGTATATCATCTAAATAACAAAAGTATCCCACTCTTTCAAATAACAAATTTCTCAGGTGCCCAGTATCTTCATTTTGCTCAGTAGTATCTTTCAACTTACATCGTGTAAAACAAAATGCTTGATTTTGTTAAAGTTTCCTTTCAAATCACTGCATCGTTTGTGCGTCCATTGGTATGGAATTTCCTCCGACTACTTTACCACACACCGCACCAAGGAGTTTACCACGTTCAAGAATATCTGAATCCTCTCCGTTCCACACAACTTTGTATATATATATATATATATATATATATATATATATACCACTTATGGATACACCACTTTGATACAATGCACGAATATTATAATTAAGTATGTTAATTATATAAATAGCAATGTTGTTTTTTGAAGATATAAAATTATTAATGGCTAAGTTGTATTTTTAAAATGTTCTTTATCATACTAATTTTTTATTAAAATTTTGATTTTGCTCTTCAGTCAGCAGTATATGTACGAATAAATTTGGTTGTCGAAAAACAACAATAGCTGGGGGACTCATTTCAGCTCTCGGTTGCATTTTGAGTGTTTTTACAAATTCTGTTGAACAGTTATGCCTAACATTCGGTCTTGTTGCTGGCTTTGGTTTGTCTCTCGTTTATGTGCCTGCTGTTGTCATTGTTGCTTTCTACTTTGAAAAGAAGCGAGCTTTTGCCACTGGTTAGTTATCATTATTTTTCTATGATGTCTATATTTTTGCTTTGCCCTTGCTTGATTTTTGGATCAGTTTTTTGTAATAAGTTGTTGTCAAATATCATGTTTTTAAACGTAATAGCCATGCAGCTTGCTATAATTTTTCCATATTAATTTTGAATCACCGATTTTATTCACCTTGCAGGCATAGCAGTAGCAGGATCAGGCATAGGAGGATTTGTATTTCCTATTCTTGTAGAGCTCTTGGTAGAAACTTATTCATGGAGGGGTGCTCTGCTTATAATGGGAGGAATTATGCTTAATATTGTTCTTTGTGGGGCACTTTTTAGACCTATTGTTGCATTCAAAAAACATAAGCTTAAACAGAAATATTTAAAATCGCTGGAAAAGTTCAGTCGTGTTAGTTCAAGACACCAAAGTGGTGAACAGTTGGAACAGGAAATAATGGGTGTTTGTGATCACAGACCTGGAGAAGAAGAAGACTGTGTTTTTTGTTTGCAGAACAAAGCTGATACACCAGTGATTTCAAGATCACTGCAGTGTCTACCCACATATGTTGACATCGATTTTTTCATACCTGATATACCTAAGCTGTCAACTGAAGGACGTTGTGCTTCATCCAGTGCACAAGAAGTTGGCAAGTCTGGTATTTTAAAATCACATAAAACGGTATATTTCTTTTTATTAATTTTTGTTGTTTACCGATTTTTTATTTTTTGTAGACTAATGTTGATGTAAGGCTGATGTTGTGATGTATGTTTAACATTTGCTTGAACTTATTGATGATAATAATTGAAAAAATCAATTCAGAATAGAGTTATATGGAAAGTTATAAAAAGCCATAAAACGAAAGTTCTTTTATGAAAGTTCTTTTACGAAAGTAATTTATGCAATCTAAATAAGCAAATTTTTTGCATTATAATTATTTGTTAATGTTTAACAGTGACCTGCAACGACTAAACAACTACTGGTGTTATGAAGTTACACCATACATCTCTGTGTATGGTTTAATAATAATACATCTGGGTTTATATTATAGATAATGATATAAATAAATGACTTTTAATGACTTCGACTAAAACTTAATTTTTTTATTTTATTGTAAAATTGAAACAAAGCATCTAATTCGATCAACTTTGCTATTCAAGGTCTTTTTATTTGTGTGATAAACCTTGACATGGCCAATGCATCATTATCATTATACATCACAATCTGCCAATGATATCTGCTTTTTATTTTACTCACACTTTTGCGAGGACGGCGAATTGTTAACTGATGTGCATGAAAGGAATTATGTGGAAAAGAAGCTAGTTCTAGTTTATTGCTCAACGAATTAAAGAATTTGTAAACAAATACATTTGTAAAATTTTAAAATATATTTATAAAATTAGTTCATTGCACGAAATTTTCTTCTAAGAAAAGCAATTTTCAAAGGATAAATTATAAAAATAAAAGTAAAAAATGTTTATAAATGCTAAATACCTCAAATTACAAAAGCAAAAGACAAAACTAATAAAAATTAGGCAATATTTAACTTATCCGTTTCAAATAACATTGCGAAACGAAAGCATGTAGCGAGTTTGGAACGAAAGCGTTCGTTACTCGAGCGTCGCGCGGAACAATCACGCAAGTGGCTGAAAATGTGAAGTGATTATCTGGGTACGCTAAAAAAGTCGATAATGAATTGGCCGTCGTGATGGCTCAATGGTTAAAGGCGCCTGATCTTGCTACTGCAATGACTGGGTTCGAATACAAAGAGATCTCCGTCTATCATATGCAATGTGTATGATGCGTGGTTGAAACCTCTGAAGCAAGCGCAAAAGAGAGAGAGTAACTTTTAATGATTACGTGGTGATGATAATGATGATGATGATAGACTTGGATATATTCTTAACGATATTTTTATTGTTACGTTAATTTATTTTTTCATTTTAATTTTTCACGAAAATCTAATAAAGCAAAGTAATTTAAATTTTTGTTTCAGAATTCATCTGTCCAAGGCATCTTTAAAAACGGCATGGGAGACGACTCCATAAATTCATTAAAAAAAGTTTTAAAATCTAAAAAAGTTAAAACAGAAGAAAAAGGGCAAAAAAAGGCTCACTTTCCTGATCACGTCATTCCTAAGTACCCTCAAGATGTCTTTTATAGAGGTAGTTTGTGGAAAACAGGGTTCCTTCGAGATAGGGTTCAGTCTGCAAGTTGTCCTGACATATTTGTTAGATCAAAACGAAAGCACCACACATTTTATGAAGTCATGAATGGTTTTCGAATAGCTTTAAAAAATATGATGGATTTTTCGATTTTTAAAAGTCCTGTTTTTATATGCTTCTGTTTGCACAGTCTGATGCTGTATGTGAGTTATGACATACCATACATGTATTTACCTGATTTGGCCAAGGATCTTGACATTTCAGCAACAAAAGCTTCATTACTCCTATCAATATCAGGAATTTCAAGTACCATTGGACAGGTTTGTAAAATAATAGTGTTTAATATTCATACTAATTGTTGCTAGGGAATTCGTTCAGATCCGCGACAAAGAATTGAGGCAACGCAAGCATTGAATATTATTGTAAAATTTTTATTCACATTTGGACACACCGGCATATTTGTTTGTACAATATTTTGCATGCCATCTTTTTTTTATTTGCCAATAATTCTTTTAACAATGCGAGTTTTTTTAAAAACTTTGTTTCTACTAAAGTCTAAAAGTTCCGAACTGTCTAGTGCTTTATTTGTAAACGCGTATTTCTTTTCAAATGACTTTTTCTAAAGAAAACAAGACGTTGGGCGATGATGTTATGCTTAAATGTTGAGGGTTAGAATATAGTGATTTTAAATTTGTTTCGTCTAAGTATACGAAACTTGAAAACTAAAGGCTGTTTTATCAGTGGCCTGTTAAAACAGCAAATGGCAAAATAACACTGACATATAATGCGAAAATTCTTGAGTAATTTACGCCCACGTATTTATACGTCGTGTTGGTTTCTAATTTGGTATTCGAGAGACTTTTTAATTAGAAAAAATAACTAAAGTAATATTAACGTTATTTTGTCATAGCTGTTTTTAAAGCACTCCACCTATCATATTAATTTATTAATTCACATTTACTAGATGTCCACCGATTGTGTATTGGCATAATAAAAGCGTTAAAACATTGATGCTAAACCTTTTTTTTCAGAGGGCCATTTGTACATAATAAAAATATTTGAAGGAAGGACCATCTAATCACACACACACACACACATACACACAAACACACACACACTCACATGTATATATATATATATATACAATATTTATGCTTATATTATACATACATGTATGAATTTTTATTTTTTAATAAATGGAAAACAACATATTAGAGAAAAAAAATTTTTAAATTTCTATGAAACCTAAAAAGGAAGTAAAATTAAATTAATGTGACCCTTGGCTTTGAATGTCAGACAACATATTACCATAATGTGGTGTATATTTTGTTGTTGCTGCCCTTAAGCAGTGAATTAAATTTATATCAGTAAGTCTGTTTCTGGATTTGTTTTTTATTGCTTGAAGTGCTGAAAACACTGTTTCACATCGGTATGTAGAGCCAAACATTGATAGAACTGGCAGAGCAATATTAGATATAACTTTATAACCTGGCTGTAAAGATATCTGTTTCCACATATCTATAATGTTTGATTGCACTTTTTCAAAATCACACAAATTTATGTCATTTTTTAGTTCTAATAGTTCAAATTCTGCAGAGTTTATTTTATCATGAGATATGATATGATTCAATGAATTTAAATCATAAATAAAAAGATTTATTACAAATTGGAAAAGCATTTTTTTACTTTCAATTTCCTCAAACCTGTTTTCAAATTTTGTTACTAAAACATCCACTCTTTCAGATAATTTTAGTTCTTTCATATAAAAATAATTAGGATCAACCTCTTTTAACATTTTCTCTAGTTGAGTGAAATGTGTCAATTTATTCATTTGTAAATGTGCAAACAGATTTAGTTTTTGTTTGAAACTTGTAATATATCTCTATAATTCAGGCAAAGTCTTATTTTCTCCTTAAAGCTGAAGGTTCAAGTTGTTCAGATGTATAGACATATCTGTTAAAAAGCCTAAATTCAAAAGCCAAACTGGATCATTTAATTCAGCATAATCTTTGCCTTTAGATTTCAAAAAACTTTGAATTTCTGTTATAAGTTCACAAAATCTCAACAGAATTTAGCTCTTGATAACCAACGAATTTCTGAATGCAAAATGATATCTTCATGTCACTACTTAGCTCAGCAAGCATACTCTGAAACTGCCTATGATTCAATGCCTTTGCACGAATAAAGCAAATGACTTCATTAACTACAGACGTTATATTCATTTGGTTGAAATCTTTGGCACATAAATTTTCCTGATGCAAAATACAATGATAGGATACAAAATCTGGAAAATTATGTCTATTTCATAACAAGGTTATGGCTCCATTATGTTTTCCTATCATTGCAGATGCACCATCAGTTGTAATTGCAGATAATTTTTGGATATTTATTTTATATGTTTTTAATAATTCATAAATGGCAGAACTGATATTCACTCCAGTAGTTGTATCTTTCATAGGAATCAGGTTTAATAATTCTTCATGAACCACACAATCTTTCATGACATATCTGATAAAAATTGCTAGTTGTGTCAGTAGTTCCTTAATGTCAGTAGTTTCATCAATTGCCAAGCTGAAAAATGAACACTCACTAATGTCTGCTAGGATTTGTTGCTCAATATTCATTGATGATTTTGTAATTCTTGTACAAATAGTTTGACGATTTAAAGGTATTTTTAAAAGTTTCAAATATATATCTTTTCTATTTGGGAACAGTTCATCACATGCTATTTTAAAGCAATCTTTGATAATGGAAACATCACTAAATGGTTTTCGAGCCATTGCCAATTGCCAAGCAATTTTAAAAGATGCTCTTGTATAATCATCTAGAGAAGTGTGCTTTCTCAATTCCTCTTGCTGATGCCCTAACTTTTTAATACATTCTCTCAATTTATTCTCTCTAATTCTTGAATTAATAGGAAATTTTTTATTCCAATCTTTGTGTGATGTTGTAAAATGTCTTCTAACATTATACTCTTTAACCACTGCTATGGTTGTGGAACATATCACACATACAATTATATTATTTACAAAAATGCAAAAATATTGTTCTGACCAATCGTCTTTGAACCTACTAACGATATCAACTTTATTCTTTCCAGAACATCTCGTTTCATTACTAATTATATTAGAACTACTGTTTTCATTTGTATCTTCAGTTATTTGAACTGATTCATTTATGAAAGACTCACATAGTGATTTTTTTTCTCTCCAGAATTTATTTCTGTGTAACCTAAATTTATAGGTTTAGCATCAAAACTTTGATTACCTATTTTAATAATTTTTTCTTGGTTGGAAATCATTACATTCACTGGTCGTTTAAAGTAGCTTGCTGCTGCTTCAATTATGATTCCATCACCCCAAGTATGATCTTTACTCATCATGGTCAAATAATTTTCTAAACTTCCATATTCAGAAAAAATTATTTTAATATTTTCTTCCGATTCAACCTGCATTTATAAAAATTTACTGTGAGACATCATAATTATTTCTTTTCAGCATCAACTTTTATTATACTATTCATTATATTGATTTAAAATATTAAAATCGTACCAAAAAACTGTGACTTCGAATATGATCAACAAGATCTTTTCTTACAGCAGAAGCATTGGACATGGGGATACCAATCTGGTCTGCAATTGCAGAAAATAAACAGTTCCCATCTTCTGGAGTATTATTTACTGTATAATTGTTGAATTCTTTTTGACAATTTTTCATAGAATCGAATCATCAGCAAAATAAAATGTGATTAAATGTTGAATATAAATAAATAAAATATATATATATATATATATATATATATATCAATAAAAAAAATTACTCCTTAAAAAATAAACTTTAAAAGTGAAATTAAAAACGGTTTTATACTTTTCTATAACAATTTACAGTTGTTACATCAAGAATTAAACAATTATCAATCTGATCTTCGTTAAATATGTTAACGAAAATGAAATTTAAATTGTTAGATTCGGTAATTTTTTAATTATGTGTTTACTGCAGATTCTGGGCAGCAACCTCGGTGGAGTCTTGCAATATAGTTATTTATTACTTTTTTAAGGTGATTGTTGGCAGAGATCATTAATTTAGTCAGTCGACTAACTAGTTTACATAGAATACTTTTAAGTTTTTATTTAAAAGATCATTATTTTTTATTGTAAAGTTGATCAGTGAATGCAGCACCGAGTACTATTTTTGTAGTTACAATGTATTTATTATAATAAACGTGGCTGTATCTTTTTATTTTAAATTATATTTTACATACAATCAATCTAGATAGTCATCGGATTCATAGGAGACAGACCTAAGGTGAACAGCAGGTATTTGTACATATCTATGATATCTATAGCCGGCATCTCCACCTTGTTTGTTCCTATCATTGTTGATTACTGGCTATTCGTTATCTACTGCTTATTGTTTGGGTTCACCATCAGTGCTAACTACTGCTTGACGACTATCATAGTGGTTGATGTTCTTGGAATGGAGCAATTGACCAATGCCTATGGCTTTGTGACTTTGGCCGAGGGGATTGCAAATCTTGTGGGAGTGCCTCTTGCTGGTCAGTTTTACAAAATTTACATAAATTAACAACGTAATTTTGAACTTTAATTGCTTATAACTTGTTTCCGGTCGGGTAATTAGTGTTCATGTAGGCGTGGCGAGGGTAGGTTGGAAATATATTATGATGAAGCCGAATACCCAAAATTCAAAAACGTTTTTCAGAGGAAGGGGAATGCTTCAAGTTGTCAGGTGACTGATGTCAAGCGAATTTTTAAAGAGTAATTTGGTGTGAACCGTTCCCGTGATCTTTCAAGTCTGAAGTGGCTGAAAAACTACCAACATCCATAACCAACAAAACAGAAATCAGGCCGACATGTAACTAGAGTTTCTTGGAACAGAAAGTTGCTTGTCGGACAAGCGCAGAGTTTTTCAATTATGTTGAAGATGAATGCATAGTGCTTGCAATTCTTTCAGTGAAGAAATCGGATGACAAAGAGCCTAAATAGACTAAAAAATTTTATCCACAGGGTGGAGCAGCAATGATAGAGCAGAGCATGATGAGAATAGGTTCATGATAAATGACTTAAGAGGGCTATAGCTGCAAAAAGTTGGATGTGGAGAACTGTTAAATGACTTTTAAGAGGTCTGTAGCTGTAAAAAGTTGGATGTGAGGAACTGTTGAATGTTTTTTTAAATCATGCGCCGTAAAATGAGTGGAGTCACCTTTTGCGTTTAAACGATGAAATTGTGAAGAGCAAAAAACTAAATGGTGGTTCTAATAGGAAACTTAAATTACATTGTAAAAATTAAGAGATGGCGAGAGTTTATTGGTAAATAAAAGAAATTATTCAGCAACGTATCAATCGTAAAAGGATGAGAATACAGTAAATTATATGCTGGCAAGGGAATGCAACCAAGAATGCGTGAGACAACTGTCACTATCTCGACTTGAAGTGAAGATATGAAGTGGAGAAAAGAAAATTACCAAAACGTAGTAGTAAATCTTGAATAAAACCATTTGCACTTGTTTTTGTTTGTAATAAAACTCTGTGTTAGCCACATTGTCACATGTATGCGGAACTTTTATGTAAAAAAAGTATTGGAAGCGATAAAAATGAAGAAAGCAAATATAAAAGAAATATCAAATTAACTTGAGAATAGCTGGCGAACGTTTATTAACGAACGTTCAGTTTTAAGATATTTCAGAAAAATAAAGGTATAGTAAATTAAATGTTTTTATAAAATAAAATATAATTTTAAATTTATAATGATATTTATGATATTTAGTATGATATTTAGTACTAATTGAGAGTTGGTTAGGGTAAAGTATGTGTTTGTTGATGCTAAAATACTTTTGATGCGTTTATTTGGGTACACTTGTTGCTTTTTGATGATAACTTTGTGTAAAAAACTGTATAAACATACATGTTTCGGTATGTGAGAGGTTAAAAAGAGCAGTTTCGATTTATTATTTGCAGTGGACAAGCAATTCTACCAAGCAACATAAAGCTAAAATACTATTGCTGACGTTTTTATTGTCTAAGGTGTACTTATCAGAAAGTTCACAACTTAATGTTAGGGTGTTGAATAGAGTTGTTCAGTAACAGATCCTAAAAAATAATTTGTTTCTTATCTGTAATGCTCGGACAAGTGATTGTGATTAGATATGATATTTGATAGTTTAAAGAGAAATAATGTTGGATTTAAAAGGTATAAAAGCTGTATGTGCATAAAACGTGACAATTTTAAAGCAACATATTTTTTCATATTTTCTAAGTTTAAATGCAAAGCAACAAAGTTTGTTATGTTAAAAGTTGAATTTATTTAATTTTGATGTTGATAATGTTAATATAAACATTTTCAGGTTGTCTGACGGATTGGACTGGTACCTATGAATTAGCTTTCTATTTGTCAGGAATTGGTGTTTTCATATCAGCAACTGTGTTATTTCTTATGAATGTCTTGTCAAAATGTGATCCTTTAGTTGAAAAAAAAGAAAGAAACAAAAGGGATATAGAGAGGATAAATGCTTTTAAAAACTGTAGTGATAGTAGTGAAGATGAAGTCGACGGTGTCGGTCAGTAAGGCAAAGAGATGTTGTAAATAAGTGTAATACCTAAAGTAGGAAATGTACCGCAAAAAGTGAAGAAAGATGTAACAATTTTATTAATGTGTGGGTTTTATTCATCTGAAATAACTCTGATTTTTTTCCATAACGTTTTAGATCCTTTGATTTGATTTTGTGATAAAATTGTACATTTTCAAATCTGACATTTAATTAGTCGTATTTTTTAGTTAATTATCCTAAAAATAAAATACATTTCTCCACTTATTAAATGATTTTCAAATGGCAGCATATTAATGCTCATTTTAATCAGTTTTTAAACAATCAATATTTGTATGCAAAACTTGGCAATGAATGTTGACTAAAAAGAACAGAAACATTTGAAAAGAACAAATTTTAGAGCAGAAATATATAATAAAATTACGTTTCTCGTCAAGCAATCAGGTGGAGTCTACGTCGACAACTCATTCCAGAATATCTTGTTCGACTTGTGATGGAAATGTATACGAATACTAAGACTCTCGTCAGCACAACGGTTGGAAACAGATGCATTTGACATCGGCGTTGGAGTTCACCAAGGCTCGATTCTCGGTCCACTGTTATTTATAACTGTGATGGAAGAAATCACAAAGCCGATACGCACTGGTGACATTTGGAATCTAATATATGCTGATGATATCGTTTTAACAGCCACGTCCGAGCAGAATGCAGCACAGATGTTTGAAGATTGGAGCACCAGACTCGCCGATCATGGATTTAAAATCAACATCAGCAAAACCAAAGCAATGTACACTGGAGAACCCATCCAATCCACAGCTACTGGACGATGGCCCTGTTAAGTTTGTAAAGCTAGTGTAGGTAACAATTCAATCAAGTGTCAGCAGTGTAACCAGTGGTGTCACAAACGTTGTTCAAAAATAATTGGTACTTTATCTAAAGTGTCCAATTTTGTTTGTCCTGCCTGCTTGCATCAATCCACAACAACAAATTCGAAATAGCACTGTTTTTGAAGCCATTAAAATAGAGAAAGTCACATCGTTTCAATATCTAGGGGATGTTCTGGATTGTACTGGAACAGGTGAAGCTGCCGTTCGAGCACTCATACGTGCAGCCTGGAATAAATGGCATCTCCTTGCCTCTTTATTGATGCGGCGTGACATCCCACTACCACTACGATCAAGACTTTATAAATCAGTGATACGTCCAGTCTTGTTATATGGTGCAGAAACATGGCCAATGACAACCAAACTGGAACAACAACTTCAACGAACCGATATGCAAATGCTCCGATGGATGCAACAAATTAGTCTGAAGGACCACATCAAATCTACCGAAATCCTGGGTCATGTTGGTTTAGATAATATAAAGGACGAATGCGGCAACACAACAACATGATACAACCATGGTTTAGTCATGTCAAACAAAGTGGAGACAGTGCCATAACTTCTCTTGCAGATGTTGAAGTACCTGACACACGTCCCAAAGGCCGTCCAAAGAAGTCCTGGTCGCAAACAATCGAGCAAGACATGAAAGCTCTAAATTTAAACGAAACGGATACAACTGATCGCCTAATTTGGCGCAAAAAATTGATGGCAAAGAAAACAACGTCCTACCACGGGGGAACTGGGTCTCTAGACGCTAAACGAAAATTGATTGATTTGTAGTTTGTACATTTTTATAAACAACGTTATAAGTACCAAGTTTACAGATGTTTTGAATGCTTGAATACTTCTCTGGGTTTGTAGATTGATTGATAGTGGCGTTGAAATAGATTGGGACATCAGTTGACAGAATATAAATACATAAAAGCAATTTATTACCACTGCGATCTCGGCGTAGTTCGGCTCAAGTTCATTGTTTATTTTATGAGAATTAAAAAAAATTATCAATTATTGCAAAATATGTTTTAGCATAAACGGTCGGTCGGTGAAGTCAATGAAAATTTGAAAATATATTTAATTTTAACTTTACGGATGTTGTGTGGTTCGTCACCAGTGCTTTTCGGTTTTTGTGTCTGGTTGTTACTGACTTTAATTTGTCGGCAAATAACATCTGCCAAATGACATTTATGATTCAAACATCTGACAATTTAAAACAACTTTTTGTATATGGGCCATAGCCCGTCCATGTAGCAAGATTATTCATTACATATAACGCAGAGATGTCAATTTCGTTTAGATGAACTTTCAAGCTTTGCTTCGTTATGCTAACAATCTTTTTTTTTATAAAAATGTTAAAATTATAGACATTTATTTAATTTTTATTGTCTAATCGAATCTTACGACCGAAAATCGGACATCCCAAATTTTATCCAGACGCATGCCGGAAATGATTTGTTTTGACATTAAATGAATAAAAACTCGACACAATGTTGGTTAAAATTAATAATTTATGAACAAGAGTGTGGTTATTACCGATAAGTTTAACTTCACGGCAACAATTCCATATTTCTAATTATATAATATAATTTCGTTGCGGTAACCACTTTACATAGTTATACAAATATGATAAAATATTCAAATAGTCAATTAAAAAATTTGTGGTTTACGGTAGATACTGTTAATTTGATATTTTAAAAATAAAAATCATTATTAAGAATCAAAAAATTTGATTAAACCAAAGTATGAAGCTTTCTTGGATCGACACAACCAGGAGGCAGGTGTGGACATCACTTTTATCACACTACCTTTTTTTATATACACCAAACCAAATAAATTTGACGTGTAGAAACTTCCTCTGTCGTCTCCGCAACCAAAATATGAAGATGGTTCTTTACGGTGAGCGTTTTGTTGTGTTTTATGAACAATATTATTATTATCATTCTCATTTTCAGGAAACCAGTGAAACCAAGTTATTTCGGATTGCTTTAATATGATATCGCGGTTTGAATAAATTTGCTGCCCAAACAAAAACGCTTCTTTATACTTTGAATTATTTTTATAGTCTTTTTTAACCGTTACCGGTGGTACAAATGCCAGATGGCTGTATAACAAATAATAACCAGAAGACTTAATCTGTAAATGTAACAAAAAAATAAATAAATTCGATCTTTGCGATTATATTGTTTTCTTCCGATTTCAAAAGTGTGCACATTTTTATCAAATCGTTCTATCTCAACTAATTCTCCAAGAAAATTTTTTATTTAATCAGTGTAATAAAGTTAATCTTAACCTAAAGTTATCTTACAAGTGTAATATGAGATATGTTTATAGCTTGCTTCTAAAACTTATTATTATCTCTTTTTTTATCGTCACATAAAATGTGTCCCTCGACATTAATATCGATTTTTTATCATTTATTAAAATTATTGAAATACCAGTGAAATTTTGAAATATTATTAATATTATATTAATATTATTGAAATAAATTACAGAAATACTCAATGATTTATTAAAATTATTGAAATACCAGTGCCACAATAATATTTTTTGTAGATTTTTTTTACAACATCTTCGCTTCTATTCCTTAATCCTTCCCTAGTCTTTTAAGCCGTCAACTTTTATCACCGTTTTTAAGTAGATTTCTCATAAATTGCGCTTATTCGTACGCCTTTCCACGAACCACACACGAGAACTGACCGGATTTATAACTGTCCAAATTTATCCGAGATATCAGAATCTACGTTTCATCCACATTCACTGTCGGAACTTTCCTTTTTGATATACGCTTCAAGTTGCTTTTATTAAATCGTCATAACTTACATTTATCAAACTTCATCATTTGCGTACAATATACGTAGCTCCCTCATAATTTTCATTTTAATATTAATAGCTGATCGGCATCGTAAACATTATGACAATAAAATTATAGGTGATCGATATTGACATAAATTTTATTTAATAAAAATAGAAGAGTTTTTAGCAACATTATTGAATAGGAATTTAGTTAAATAAGATTTAAAAAATAAATGATATGTATTTGACAAAAAAATGCTTGTTTATATATATATATATATATATATATATATATATATATATATATATATATATATATATATATATATATATTTTTTATTTTTATTTATTTTTATTTATTTAAAGGATAACCAAAAAAAGATAAACTTGTGGATAGGCCACCCTTAACTAAGAATTCCAACTGTTAATGTAACAAAAATGTCAAATAAATACATACACACAAATTCTTACTATAAATGTAACAGAAATGTCAAATAAATACATATACACAAACACATGCTCACACGTACATCATTCTATGAATACTGTCATGTTTCATATAGTACCTAAAGGTGACAGTATAGTCACAACTGAGACTGAAAAATTCGCTTACTTAGAACATCAAAATTAAATAAGTTGTAAAATAGTGTAAAACTATTTAAAATAAGTGTTTTTTTTAACTAAAGAAGTTTTTAGCTTGTTTTTAAATAAGTGTAATGAGTTGATTGTTTTAATTTCATGTGGCAATACAGTATCCCATACCCTCGGACCATTAAGTTTGATGCTTGAGTGAAAAGCTTTTAATCTCACAGTATGAGAATAGAAAAGTGTGTCTAGTAAATTTCCTTTGAATGTCATTGCTAAAAGTGAAAAAATTGGCAAAATAATTAGGCAACTGTTGACGTAAAAATTTAAATACAAAAATTGATGTGAAATAAATGTGCAATTCTTTAATGGGTAAAATGTTGAGTGTCGAATAGTAAGCATTGGTTATATGAGTACGCGGTGGAAGAGTAAATATTAGTCTTATAAACCGATTTTGACATTTTTGAATATAATTTAAATGGCTTTCTGGACTTCCGCCCCATAAAAAATTACAATAAATTAAATGTGGATATATTAGGGTATAGTAAAGTTCAATCATTATGTCATAGTTTATTTTTGATTTGATTTTATATAATATACCTAGTATTTTATTGATCTTAGTTGAAATTGATTTTATATGTGGTTCCCATGAAAGATCATCATTTATTAACACACCTAAAAATTTTGTAGAGTATGATCTAGGTAATGCCAGACTGTTAATTCTTATATCAAGATTGCCTATTGTGTTAGTAATTATTCTGGGGCCGAATAACATTTTGTAAAATTAACACCTAATTTATTGAGAATAAACCAATCTACGAATTTTTGCAATTCTTGGTTTATGCGATCACTTTCCAGTTTAAAATCCCTTGAAGTAAAAAATATGTTAGTATCGTCCGCATATAGTAAAATATTTGCCGAATCAGTCACGTTGACAATGTCATTAATTAACAAGACAAACAAAAGAGGTCCGAGAATAGAGCCCTGCGGAACTCCACTGTTGATGTTTAGACATTCTGATTTAAATCCTTCTAATGCAACATATTGCTCTCTATCCCTAAGATAGCTTTCACACCACGAGTAGGGTACACCTCTTATTCCATTCATATATAATTTCTTCAAGAGTAATTCGTGGTTTATGACATCAAACGCTTTTGACAGATCTATGAAAATACCTAAAGTAAGATTTCTGTTGTTTAAAGTCTTGAAGACTTTCTGAATCAATTCAAGCACAGCTATTTCGGTCGAATGCTTGGGCCTATATCCATATTGACAATTGCACATTATGTTATTTGCAGCCACAAACGATTTCAAACGAGTACGCATTATTCTTTCATCTTCGAAAGAGGTGAAAGAAGAGAAATTGGCCGATAATTGCAAGCATCCTCTGGGTTACCGTTTTTGAGAATTAGAACAACCTTAGAAATTTTAAAACAAGCTGGAAATATGCCTTGCGATAATGAGAGGTTAATAATATGAGTCAAAGAAACAAGTATTTCATGAATAATTTTTTTTATAATAAAGTTACTTAATGTATCATCTGAAGTACTTTTTTTTATTTTTCATGTTCGTGACTATACTTAATATTTCTATTTTGTCAGCAGTTTGAATATATCTAGAATTAGGTAAAGTATTACATAGTGGGCTATTACTATTAGTTGTTGGATTATGCTGCGATTTAAGTAAATTGTCAGTTACATCTATAAAGTATTTATTGAATGTATCTATTTATATTAGGATGTGATATTTTTTTATTTAATATATTATTTATAACATTCCATTTTTGTTTTGCATCATTTTTAGCTGTCATAAGTTTACAATGGTAATAATCTTGGAACACTTTGCGTTTATAAGCTGTAAAATTATTTCTAAACTGTTTGTATTTGTTTAGACTATCCTGTGTGGGATTTAACAAATAATTTTTATGTAGTTTATTTTGCGTTTTTGATAATTTTATTATTTCTTGTGTGACCCATTCTTTTTTAATTTTTAATTTTACAGATTTAACTGGGGCATATCTGTTTATAATAACATCTACAATTTTATAAAAATTATCACAAGCCGTATCTATATCATTGTTAGCTGTTACAGACAACCAATCTTGACTAGAGAGCTTGAATTTGATTTGTTGTAATGCATTATTTGTCATGATTCTTTTATATTTTTGTGCATTGTCGTGATCATGTAAGTTGGAATTTGTTGTAACAGCGTAAATGAAACTATGGTCCGAGAAGTCTGAAAGAATAACTCCGCTGCCGTAAATATTTAAAGAATTACTAAATATGTTATCTATTAATGTAGAAGAACAAGTTGTGGAACGAGTAGGTGACACAATTAAAGGATAAAAACAATGAGAGAGCAAAAGATTCTGAAAGTTCAATGTGTGGTTATTTTTGGTCAGAATATTTATATTAAAGTCGCCCAATATGTACACCTCTTGAGCTTGTGTAAAATATTTTCAAATTCATTGATAAACTTCTCAATGCTTGTGTTAGGTGGACGGTAAATAGAAATGATTTTTAATGGCAATTTATTTAAAGAATTTGACCTAATATTTATACTAAATGCCTCAAATATGTCATCTACAGACTCGATGTTATCATCGATAAAACAATCAAATTCTTTCCTTACAAAAATTCCTATATCGCCTCCTAATTTATTTTGTCTATTTTTATAGAAAAAATTGTAATTATTTAGACTTATGAGGCCCGCGGTGATATCGTTCAGCCATGTTTCAGTTGTGACTATCACATTGAAAAATGAATTAAACTGATTAATCAAAATATCTAATGTAGTCATTTTACCGTATAAGCTACGTGCATTTATATGTAGTAGTGATAAATAATTAGATTTTATTTTAAAATTTTCAAGAAAATCTAAGCAAAAACTTTCAACAGTTTGATAATAATTATAATTATTAATTTGCAAGTCTTTAGTTAACCATTCTGTAGAGCTGCTGGTACATTTCTGGGAATCATCCATTTTGTGTCGTATCTTTGTCGAATGTTGTCTGAAGGTTTTCGTTGAGTGTTTTTTTATTGCTTGTGAACTGAATGCCTTCATTTGTTGATTTTTTGAAGGACCACTCACGTACTAGAATGTTCGATGGCCAGATGTCAGGGTCAATGGCTTTGCAGGTATATCGGCTATCTATTCCCACTCTGAAAGATTTATAGAAAGATTTTGTTGTCGCAGATGATTCTTGCTGAGTTTCAGGTCGCTTGATATCAAAACACGATATGACGTTGATGTTATTTGTACGTAAATGGTCCATAATGTCGTCGGCAGTACAACTGTTATCAAGGTTACTAACGTAGAAGAAAGATTTATTTACAAGAACTTTATTAGCCCTTATTTTTATATTTTCTTTATTGGAACGTCCGATTATTTTAGAACCAGTTTCGTGTTTATCCCGATCATTCATTTTATTATTATTGAATACAGTTGAATTTGAATGCGATGTATTACTGGTGATAACTTCTGTAATTATATATATATATATATATATATATATATATATATATATATATATTGTGTCCAAATTTATCCCAGATATCAGAATTTACGTTTCTTCCACATTCACTATCGGAACTTTCATTTTTGATGTACGCTTCAAGTTGCTTTTATTAAATCGTCATGACTCACTCATAAATAAAGCAAAGTTAGTTTAACTCATAAATATATATATTATATATATATGTATCTATAAATATATATATATATAATTAGAGTTGAACCTTTCGTAAATACAATTATTAGGAAATATCACTGAATTTTCAGCTTTGAAGCATTAATCCTGCTGGTCAATATATATATATACATATTTATATATATATATATATTTTTATACATATATATATATATATATATATATATATATATATATATATGTTGGAAGAAGACCATATTTTATACAATATTATATGAATTCTCACGAATTTGTTGGCATTAATCAATTTAAAGTGTGTCTTTTCAATTTTCCTTACTAGAATTTTTTTGAAATTGTTCAATTTATTGAAAATAGAACTATTATCCAAAGAAATTACAACAACAAAGATGAAGAATACGACAAAAACTTAGTGACTCATTTTACTAAAGAACTAACTTTGCTTTGTTTAAAATAAGCAAACCTGCACTGAATATGATTTGTGAAAAATCTAAATAAGGCCTATCTGCGTGATAAATTTGGATAACAAAACTTTTATTAAATTTTCATGATGAACTCGAATAATAATTCTATTTTAAATAAATTGAACAATTTCTAGAAAATTCTAGTAAGGAAAATTGAAAAGACAAACTTTAAATTGATTTGTGCTAAAAATTCTGTAAAATTTATACAATACTGTATATATATATATATATATATATATATATATATATATAAAGCATGAAGCTAAGTAAGTTTGCAGACGATGTTGGATTACTGATAGAAACTGAAATTAATTTACAAAACCTTACCACAAGAGTCAGCAAAACAAGTACAAATTTAGATTAAATATTAACACAGAAAAACAAAAATGATGGCAATAAACTATCAGAAAAAGAGAAACCCCTAAATTAAACTAAATTCAGATGTACTGAAGATAGTGGAAAACTTTATCTACGTGGGTCGAAAGATAACAAGCACCGGAAGCTACCAGGAAGACACAAAAAGAAGAATAAGCATAACTCTACAAACAATGGGGCGCTTAAAACATATATGGAAAGCAAAAGACATAAGTTTATTAACCAAAAGAAAGATATATAAAACCGTCATTGGTCCACAGATGTATATGGATCGTGAACGTGGATAATTAAAAAGACCTATGAAAACAGAATTTTAGCAGCCGAAATGAATTGTCTGAGACAGATCGTGGATGTAAATAGAATCCAAAAAATAAAAAATTTTAATATTAATTTGAATAAATTGAATAATATTGATAAAATAATTGTTCGAAAAATTGAAAAACTTAGTTACAGACTCAACAATGCGGAAAATGCGGTGATATTTCTTAATAATTTTATATACGATAGTCTGAACCCATATATATATATATATATATATATATATATATATATATATATATCTATATATATATATAGTATCACGAAATTTTCTTCCCGCTCACTACCTTATTAACAAATTCTTCTTAAGCGTCAGCGCTCAACATCTTAACATTAGCGCATTGTTAATTGTACATTTTATTTACCAAATAGAAAGTGTAAACCTCAAAAATAATAAAACAAATGTTAATCTAAATTAAACCGTTGCATAGAACTTGGTTAACTGCTTGAGTACAAAGAATTTTTGGCAATCTTATGTTGAAATATACTAAAGATTTTTTTTTACGTATCATATGCATATGTGATATCGTCAAAAAAGCGCTCAGTCTAATTCAGCTGCACATAAGTACGCTTATAAAAATAATTTTGAGAATATACGTTATAGTTGTAAAGATGTTTCAAGTGATAATTCACGTGATTATCGTACAAAGCAAATACTAACTGTTATGCCATCACTTTGAAAATCTAGACATTCACTAATAAAGTGTCCACCGTAGGTTTTGTATGTCCAACCATCCACCAATAAGTATTCATCTTTGATGGCGTATTCATCTTTGAAAAAAAATTCGGAAAATCAGCACTCAACGAAGATGAAACAAAAGGTGTTTACAACAATATTAAACAAAATGTAGTATAAAAATTACTTTTGGATTGACTTTCTTGACTATTCAAAAACAAATGTGCCGAGCATTGATTTAAATACGATGTGCCAATTCCTAATTTCATGAATAAAATTTTTTTATGTGATTATTAAATACAATATGATTTTTATTTACGAAAATTTTAATTAAGCGTTAAATAATGAGTTGATGGGTTACCGGGTTGGACTTATGGGTGTGGTTTAACTATTAACTCAATGAATGACAAAGATAAAGCTACTCCCTACAATAACAACATTTTGAAGAAAAATATCAATAGGACAAACATAAAATTTTTTGTTTACCATTAACTTAACCACTGGCTGAAATTTTTTAGCGTCGAAGGCATGGAAAGAGAAATCTAGCAAAGGCAACAAACAGGAAAGCAATAAAGGAATATGAAGAAAAACTAAGTGAGAACATAAGTAAAGACAGTAAAAGCTTTTTCAGTTACATGAGAAGTAAACAAAAAAGGAAAGATAAAGTGGGGCCTCTGAAGACTGATCATGGCAACATTGTAACGGAAGAAAAAGAAATGGCTGAGATGCTCAATAACTACTTTGGATCGGTGCTGACAAAAGAAAATACAAATAACATAAAGGAGCCAAAAAAATTGTTTGGGGGAAGCCAAGAAAGGATGCTTACAAGTGTTTACATAACAGAAGAGATGGATGTCGGAATACTAGGCAGTCTCAAAGAGAATAAAACTCCAGGAATAGATGAGCTGCACCCAAAATTTTTAAAGGAAATAAGACATGAAGTAGGAGCCACACTGTGCGAAATATTTAATGACTCTTTAAGATCAGGAGATATACCAAGGAATTGGAGGGACGCTATCGTCACGCTATTGTTCAAAAAAGGACGTAGAAGCGAAACTAGTAACTACAGACCAGTTAGTTTAACTTGCATTATATGTAAAGTATTAGAAAAAATTATCAAGAGAAATATGGTCGAGCACTTAAATTCTAACTGCATAATCAATGACAGCCAACATGGTTTTATGAAAGGACGATCCTGTCTATCTAACCTATTGGATTTTTTTGAAGATGTTTATGCTAACCTAGACCAGGATAACTCGGTAAACGTAATATATTTAGATTTTGCAAAAGCATTCGATAAGGTGCCACATTGTAGCAGATTTCCTTCTACCCCACATGCCTGGATAAAAAATTGGCTAAAAGATAGGAGACAACAGGTGCGGATAAAAGGAATAAACTCGAAGTGGATAGACGTAACAAGTGGCGTGCCTCAGGGATCGGTATTGGGACCGCTATTATTTGTGATATACATTAACGACATCGACGAAGGAATAGTCTCTAAGATTTCAAAGTTTGCAGATGATACCAAATTATGTGTGAAAGTCAACAACGATGAAGATGCAGAAATATTGCAAAAAGATCTAGCAAAACTGTACCAATGGTCCAAGGACTGGCAAATGCTTTTCAACGTTGACAAATGTGCAGTCATGCACTTAGGGAGGAAAAACGCTAGATATGAATATAAAATTGGTGAAAGAGAACTACGATCGACAGAGGAGGAAAAGGATCTAGGAATCATTGTTCATCAAAGCACAAAACCGTCAAGACAATGTACAGCTGCAGCGGCCAGAGCCAATACGATCTTGGGATTTATAAGAAGAACAATGGTCAGCAGAGAGAAGCATATCATACTGAAACTGTACAAAACCCTAGTCAGACCTCATCTGGAGTACTGTGTTCAAGCATGGAGCCCATATATGCAAAAAGATAAGGAAGTTTTAGAAAAAGTACAACGTAGAGCCACAAGAATGATTAGAGGAATCGGAAAAATGGAATACGATGAGAGATTGAAAAAATGCGACTTAACATCATTAGAAAAAAGAAGATGTAGAGGAGATCTAATCCAAACATATAAATTGATCACGAACAGGGAAACAACACCATACTCGAGATTTTTCAGGCTAGTAAACAGTGATAAACTACGAGGACACAGATTTAAGATTTTCAAAAACTCGGATGGAAAAATAAAGAGCAGATTTTTCAGAAGTAAAGTGGCCAACGCCTGGAACGAGCTAAGCGATGATGCAGTCTCTGCGAATTCATTCAACAGCTTCAAAGCCAAACTCGGACAGATAGGATATTAGGAGATCTAATTAGTAGTGGTTCTTACACAGACCATAATCTTCTGAACCACTTTAAACCCCGTTAATAATAAATAATAATGGAGTAGAAAGATTTGTCGAAGTCAGAAACTTTTAGAGGGGTTGGAGTAGGCGTCCAACCGATAATTTTCATTTGACTCCAACAGCGAAGTGTTAAACATTTAAACAAATATGTTATTCATAATAAAAATGATTTTTCAAGCTTGTGTTTTTTAAAAGTATTATGCGTAATTACGATACTCCAAATGAGAAGTGATTTTATAATAATTCTTCCTGATTCACGTAACGTTCAAGTACTATAGCTAAAATTTTTATTTACAACTTTATGATAAGATATGGTATTATTATTATTATTGTTGTTGTTTTTGTTCTATTATTATTATCTTAGATATTCCTCAGTGGTTATGATTTTATTGTTTTATTGAACCAGTGCGTTTTCAGTTCCTGGTTAAATTTTTTACGAGAACATTTTGTTTCGTGACGCAGTGGTAGATCATTCCAAATCTTTGGCAAAGCAACTTGCGTACATTTATCTCCCAGTTTCGTTTTTGTTCTGGAGACTACCATCAATTCGTAAAAGATTGATCGCAGAGTATGTCCCATGTCCAGCCCAAATTTTTTACAAAAACCTTCTCCAAGTATTTTGGTCCCCCCCTCATGAATGCAACAGTGAGCAATAACTGCCATCTTGCAAGAAATTCTCTTGCGCACTGGCAACCAATAAAAGATTCTCCAACCACCCAGTTATGTGATCACGTCTATCAAGCCCAACACCAGTCTTGCAGCAGCGTTCTGGATGCGTTGACTTTTTTAACCGCACCAACCCCAGCATCAAACATCAACGAGTTACAATAATCTAACTTCGACTATACAAACGATAACACAAGACTTGTGAAGATATCAGCTGGGAGACATTTTTTAGTCTGATATAATTTACGCAGCTGTAGAAAACAAGTTGTACCAAGTTTCAATGCATGGCTAACATAGTCAATGAATTGTCGAACAGTTCTTCAAGGTTTTCGACCGTCTTAACTGCTTGCAACCAGTTACTAAAAACATCAAAAAGTTGTACTACAAATTTCACCCATAACCTTTCTGAATCCAAACCATATTAACTCTGTTTTATCAGGGTTTAACTTCAAACGAATTAGATTCAACCAATCATTTAGGCCATCAATACATCTAATCAACCTTTCTGAAATTACTCCAGCATCTTTTGCTAATCCAGCAAAATAAATCTAAAGATCATCAGCATAGAAGTGAACTTCAAGACCATGTTTTTTCACCATACCAGGTCGATCTGAAACATACATCAAAAATTGAATTGTCTCCAATACTGAACCCTGCGGAATACTAATCACCACCATCAATCAAAGAAAACTTTTTGCGTTTGATCCATCAAAAACGAGGTAAACAAATCCTTAGCCATCTCAGCAATACCAAAAGTAACCGCCAATCTCGATGGTGTAATGGTTTAAGTACCTGGCATTGTTGAGGCAGTGTCTGGTTTTGAATGTAAAGAAATCCCCGGCCATTACATGTTAACGTGTGTGAATCGCGTATATTTATAGACAGTGTGTTTGTTGTAAAAATAATAATACGCCTCAGTCGCTTGCCATGGCACTATTTAAAATGACATTATTAGAAGCATTTTTTTGCTTTACACTTTTTCAATTTTTATCGTAAAATAATACAATTTTGTTAACAAATTTTTGTCAAAAAGTTTATAAAAAGTTATATTTTATTCATGAAGTTATTTAGTGTTTATTTAGTAAAACGCTATTAGATTAAGTTCCTTTTATCTGCAATCATTGTTCGTAAAGTTTTAAGAGTTTCTAAAAATCACCTAAACGTAGTAGTGTTAAATGTTGAACAAAACAAGTTTTAACGTAATAAAATAAAAAATATAACAAACCATATAATCCGTTAGATTTCTGTAACGATGTGAAATATTTGTTTCATTTTAAATAAATCAAACTCAAAATAGTTGAATAGTTAATGTTTAAATTTTAGAAACATATCAGTTTGCATCTTTTAATAAAATTTATTTTATATAAGCAGCATGAATTTACCTTTTTGGATTGATTGAATGGATTTTTATAATTGGTGTGCACAGCTCCATGGCTTAATTTATTTAATTTTTCATCTAAGTAAAAAATTTTTACAGACGCCAAAATCATCGATCCAATTATAAATACAACGAATAGCCCAAGTGACGCCAAATAAAATAATTTTTTTTTGGTAGAAGGAAAGTTTTGAAATGCATAACTGCAGCCGTTAGCTTCTTCGGAGAAGTCTGCATTCACTGTGAAAACCATTTGACAATATAGATTTTTATCAATAAATGGTCAAAAACGAATTTTAATATTAGTATAAAAAATACAATAAATAAATAAATATTAAATTAACGACCATTTGTGCCATTAAAGTTAGAACAGTGCATTTTATAAATATTCTGCAATCAGAATAATCAATAAAGGTTAAAAGGTGTAATAATCATAATTTTTTTTCTTTATGTTGCATTATTAAATCATTAAATGATAAACGATGATTCTTTTTATAAGATAATGTAATATAGATTGTTATCAATAAATTGTCAAAAACGAATTTTACTAAAATATATAACTAGCAGGCATTTTCACCAACTAAACAAAAATCAAATGCGTAAAATCTAGGTACGCAAGTGAAACTTACAAATTTCTGAAAATGAAACCGATGTTTAATGTTTGCCGACGTAATTTCCCCAATAACTGTTATGTGTGATCGCATTTAAAGAGAGGGTACGAGTACAAGTTGGATGTTTTACATTATATATATTATATATATTTACATGTGCACATAGATATATATATAAATATACTTATACGCAATTACGCATACCTTAATAACAAATTAATGTCGAAACACCGGAAAATAACCTGACAATGAAACTGATATTGAATATTTACTAATGTAATTTCCCAATCTCTGTTATGTTTGATCGTATTTGAAGATGGATGTTATAAATTAGTATTCGTTACGAGCACAAGTTGGATGTTATACATTAATAACTATATTATATATATATTTACATGTGCACATATATATATATATTTATTTACTTAAATATATATATATATGTATATATATATATGTATATATATATATATATGTGCGTGTGTATTTGTCTGTGTGTGTGTGCGTGCGTGTGTGTGTGCGTGTGTGTGGTCTTCTCTTAAATTGACTAAGAGCAAAATCACCACTGCGCAAAGTGTTTGGAAGGTTATTCCACAATCGTGGTCCGACCACACCAAAGCAAAGGTTTGTCTTTGGCACACACACAAAATTTAAATCAACAGACCTCATATTTTGTCAACTTTGTTCTATTATTGTAAACAAATCGATCATATTTTGTGGTGCCACACATAATTTAAAAATAATTCTCTTATCAGCACGCAACTAATGCAATTCCTCCAGTTTTGGGCTCACATAGTCAACTCTACTACACCCAACGACAACCTTAGCCGCCCTGTTTTGAATTGGCTGCAACATTAATTCACGCTTTGATATTCCGTAATAAAAACTGTTATGGAGCATGGATGAAAGAATGAACCAAAAAGTTCAATGCGTCTTAGGTTAAACATTTTCTCATTTTTTTCAGCAAACGTAACTGAAATGTGCAAGATTTAAACAAAGACTTTATTTGCCGGTTCATCGACAGCTTGGATTCCAAAATAAAACCAAGCACAGTCGCCGAACTAGAAAAATTTATAACATTGTCATTGATTTTAATAGACTTAGCAGTTATTTTAGACAACTGTTGCCAGGTGCCTATAGGTAAAATGTGTGTTTTAGTTTGGTTCATCTGAATACCATTTTGCGTCATCCAAACATCTATGTCAGACAAACCGATCCAGGCACAGTTTTTGCTACATCCTGGATATTATCCGCTAATTCAAAACCCTTAAAACCGTATCTGTCAATAATTTCAAACACATCCGCAGTGTACAGAAGAAACTAAGTAGGACCAAGAACGGACTCCTGCGGTACACCGTATTCAAAATATTCCTTGGTAGAAGTACATCAATAAAGGACACCTGCTGGGATCTCCCACTAAGGTAGGATTTAAACAAATCCAAGGCCCTTCCAGACACTCCATAACTTAATCAGCCTTTGCACGAGAATGGCATAATCGACGCAATCAAATGCCGCACTCAATGTCAAGTAGAGCCAGAACAGATATATTTTTGGTATCAAATGACACTCAGATACATAACTAACTGCAAAAGTGCTGTTTCAACTGAATGAAACTTTCTATATCCGGACTGGCAACCCGAAAGAAGGTTCTATCATGCATAAAATAAACGGAAGAAGCTTTTTTGTTCTATCATGCATTGGTTTTGAATTAAAAAAAACTTGAAAATGATTGGAAGTTAACTAACGCCGAACATGCTGTGATTTTCATCAATAATATATATATATATATATATATATATATATTTTACAATGTTCTATAAATTCTACCGAATGTTTGGCGTTAATATGTTGTAGTTCGTTTTTC